CTGTCTGTTTCTAGGATGTTTCTCTGGATATTCAACTAGACCTGTGAGTATAGACCACAGAAAAAGACTTGTATTACGGGTGTGAGCCACCATGCCCGGTCACCATGTTTGCTTTTGAAAATTTTATTTTATAAAATTAGACTTCAGAGCCACTGATTTCACCTGTTGTCAACAAACTATTGTCACTACTTTAAATATGCATTCTTTCCCTCTGGGGTGGAGTCCACAGGTCCATAGTCCCCCTTGTCATTAAGATGGGAGTTCCCAAGTGATGGCAGTGGGTGAGTCACCTCTCCTTGTGCCACTGTGAGAATATCTCTGTCACTGATGCCTCTACTCATATTCCACAGCAGCTGCTAAGCTCAATTCTTCACATTGGTGACACTTTTATGTGTTCACGAGAGAAAGGGATTTCATACAGAACATTCTTCATGCTTATAAGAAAAATAAGGCAAGGGATTCAAACTTGCTGTCTAGAATATTTGCCCCAATATAATTTTGTTTGAAATTTATTACGTTATCTTTCCCCATTGGCTATGAACTGCAACTATCACACTACAAGGGTATTTAGCTCCTGTATGGTTAAAATAATATTGAGACCAGTACATTGAAAGAAAGGAGACACTCCATCTAATAACCTCTCTTCATGGTCCTCACATTCATTGAGGTTAATTGACAATCGTTTCTACACACTCCCCTCATCGTGACCCAGCAACTTGCAGAGGACACTGTGCAACAAATGTAATTACCGTTGTCTGCAGGCAATATGCACAGCTGGGAAAGATAATTAAAGAGGCTTTTTTTGAGAGAACTACAACATTTCAACAGAAGGATCGAGCAATCCTGCTGGCCTCCGAATGAAAACTATTACCAACAGACAAACTTCAGACAGATTTCATAATCACCATATTTATGTGGTACAAATGGTTATGGGGAGCTTTGTCAGCTCCCCAAAGACACTAAAACTGTCAGACTTAAATAACACTGAAATTTTAAAGTAAGAATTAAAAAGTATAATTCCACTTAATATGTAACATTGTCACCAGAAAGCAAGATTTGGGCTTTCCAAAATTGATTGGTTACTTGGCCAACTCGCAGGACACCTCCAAGTCCCATCTTGTGTAATTTGTTGAGGTTTATGTAGGGTATTGAATAATCTGGGGTAGGTTTTATCATGGGTCATAATATTACTTGATTGCATTTTTTTTTCCTGCCTAAAACAGTGAATGTCATAAGAAGAAGAAAACCTCACTTAAATGTCAATATTTCTGAAAGTGAGTTACACTGTCAGTTTAGGAGACTGCACCCAAAATATTGGGATGAAAACTTAGAGAATTAAAGCTTCCCTGAGGGCTTTCATTTTAAGTACTACTCACTGGATTTGGTTTATCCTGTAAGACATCGGGTACTGAGAAAGAAGAGCATTTGCTGCAGCATCAGATGCTGTCTCTCCTAGAGCAAAGGTAACCCAGTGCAGTCTATAGGCGAACAGCTGCCTGTTGAAGAGATACCTTCTCCACCACCCCTCTGCCCCCAGGGGATCTGAAACCAAAGTGTTGCTTTTCAATCTTTTAGTTTCTCTTACAAACAAAGCCACTCAAATTCTCAGATGCAAGTTCTGCTCTACATGAATGGAATCCCATCTTCCCAGTGAAAAGACACCAACTTTAAGAAAGGATACTTTGTTGTGAGTCTTGGTTTATTGTTATGGTAAAAAGTGCATTTAAACTTTAAAAAGGCAAAGTTTGACGGAATCATATATTTTGTGTCTCAGTACATGGTCTAGCAGGACTTACAGATACATGTATGATTGACTTGATTACAGTATAGCAAAATGATCTGTTAGAAACATGTGAAAAGATGCTCAACATTATGAGTCATTAGGAAAATGCAAATGAAGGGACAGTGCCAATGCCATACCTCTGTACATGTATTAGAATGCCTAAAATTTAAAAGACTAACCATACCAAGTATTGGTGAGGATGTAAAGAAATTAGTGTTCTCATATTACTGGTGTGAATATAAAATAGTACAACTCCTTTTGAAAACAGTTTGGTAGTTTAAAAAAAAATTAAACATACATGTATCATTGTATATCCAGACATCCTACTTTTAAATATTTAACCAAGAGAATGAAAGCATATATCCATATAAAGACCTATACATGGATTGCTCATAGCAGCTTTGCTTGTTATAGCCCCAAACCGGAATCCAAATGTCCAATGAAAGGATAAACAATTTGTATTTATTTGTTGTATATAGCTATACAATGGAATACCACTCATCAATAAAAAACAATTATTCATGCAACAACATGGATGAGTCTTAAAATGATTATGCTGAATTAAAGGAGTCAGACAAAAAGATAAGAGAACATTAGGAACAGCATTAGCTTTTTTTTATTTGAGTTGGAGTCTCACTCTGTCGCCCAGGCTAGAGAGCAGTGGAACACTCCCTGCCACCGCAGCCTTGACCTGCTGGGCTCCAGCAATCCTTCTGCCTCAGCCTTCCAAGTAGCCGGAACTACAGGCGTGCACTACCACGCCCAACTAATTTTTTTAAAATGTATTATAGAGATGAGATCTCGACAAGTTGCCCAGGCTGCTTTCAAACCCATGCGCTCTGGCAGTCCTCTCACCTCGGCCTCCCAAAGTGCTGGGATTACAGGCTTGAACCACGCGGGCCTGGCCCAGAATTAGCTTATTAACAGCGGGAATGAAACAGAGAAGAACTGAAGTAACTCCAAAGACAAAATTGATGAGGTTTAATTATGGGATGATGGCAAAAGGAGGGCTATAGGCTCTGAGCTCTTTCTCTAGCTTGGGTTTTCCTATGTGATTATCACCCATTTGGAGATAAAGATTATGTGAAAGATGGTACTTATGTATATAAGAGATGGAAAGCTAATTATTTAATGCTGATCCTTTGGCAACTTCAAGACCCCCAAGAAGAAACATCCAGCAGGCAGATCTCTCACTCTTGACTGTTGAAGGAAGACAAACTCACATTTTGGCTTTTTTAATCAACACACATACAGAGAGCTAATAAAAGTGTAATATCAGTGAGAGAAAAAGAAAAAAACAACAACAACAAAAAAGGGATTCCTAGAACAATTTTCATGGATAAGAGGGAACAAAGAGTTGAGGGTGGGGGGGGGGGTGCGGAGAGAAGAAAAATAGACTGATGGGATTTCTCAGGTCAGAAGAGCAGGGGACTTAACTTATTTGGAAGGCAGCAAACTATACGGATACCTTGTTGATTTAATTTCCCTGTCACTCTGGCATATCTTAACATGTGTGGTTAGATTTATCTAGTCACTGGATCCAAATTTTCTAAGTGGAATGCAGAAGAGGTAGTGCCAATTGTGGTTAAGGGCACAGGTTTTGAAGATTATATTCTCATCTCTTCCCTTAAGAGATAAATAAGCTCTCTGGGCATCTGTCTTCCCATCTGTAAAAAGGAAATATAAATTCCTACTTTTTCAGATTATTGTATTAATAAGAAAGAATGTGTACAGGAAACACTTAGTTTTGTTTCTAACCTATAATAAGGGCTTGATAAACTGGTCTTCCTCTTCTTTTTCTTTTTCTCTATCTTTTCCCTTCCCTTCCTTCCCTTCCCTTTCTCCCTCCCTCCCCTCCTTTCTTCTTTCCTTCCTTTCCTCCTCCTCCTCCTTCTCATTATTATAGACATCCACAATATTGTTAGTAAAGATTGGAAAAAGCTTTAATCTCCTAATCAGCCACTAGAAAACAAGAACACATTTTAATGTTTATTACCAGAAGTAACAAGAACACATTTTAATAGTTATTACTAGAAGTAATCGTAATCTCACCTTTATTCACTTGACTCATTCTCCCGTGTGATTATTTATGTATGTTATTTCATTAGTCTTTCTTTTATGTGTTATTTTTAAAAAGAGTGTGGTTTGAGGATGAAACAAAGAAATAGGAGTTTAATGACTCTGATCTTGCATGTGCTCCAATTCCTGTTTGGTCAAGGCAGCAGTTCCCAACCTTTTTGGCATCAGGGACCAGTTTAGTGGAAGACAATTTTTCCATGCCTGGGGGTGGGGAGAAACATTAGGCATTCAATTTTCATAAGGAGTGTGCAACCTAGATCCCTCGCATGCACAATTCACAACAGAGTTCCTGATCCTATGAGAATCTAATGCCGCCACTGATCTGACAGCAGATGGAGCTCCGCTAGCCGGCCACTCACCTCCTGCTGTGTGGCCTGGTTTCTAACAGGCCACAGAACGGTACCAGTCCATGGCCTAGGAGTTAGGGACCCTTGGTCTAAGGCAGGTGATTTAACTTTTTTGCAACATAGTGGCTTCAACTGACACAGAAATGAATTACACTCACATGGGACTGTTAGATCTAAGTAGAAAGATTGCAAGTTTTCTTTTTTTTTTTTTTTGAGTTGGAGTCTCACTCTGTCACCTAACTGGAGTGCAGTGGCCGCTCCCGGCACTACAGCCTCTACCTGCTGGGCTCCGGCGATTCTTCTGCCTCAGCCTTCTGAGTAGCCAGAATTACAGGTATTTGCTACCACGCCTGGCTGATTTTTTAATTTATTGTAGAGATGAGGTCTCACCAAGTTGCCCAGGCGGGTCTTGAACCTGCGGGCTCAGGCAATCCACTCACCTCAGCCTCCCAAGGCATGGGATTATAGGCTGAGCCACTGAGCCTGGCTAGCATGCAAGTCTTAACACTCAGTACAGAACTTTATAGAAGGCTTAGTGGGTTACATAAGTTGGTATATTTCTGAAAATGTGACAGTAAGACACTAAGAAACTTATTGCCACATTGAAATTTATTAATATAATTAGGTTTTAAAAAGAGTTACTTGATTTCCTTATAAAGTATGTTTCTATTACACCTGACTCTGTCTACTAGACAACAGACCTTGCTGGTTCAAATCCCTGGTTGCATTAATTTCATCAGCAATGAATACTTTTCATTTAAAGTCAGTGGGCCTTTCTTGTCTTGTTTCAGGCTTTGTGGATTTGACCCTCCATGATCAGGTCCACCTTCTGGAATGTGCCTGGCTAGAGATCCTGATGATTGGTCTGGTCTGGCGCTCCATGGAACACCCAGGGAAGCTCCTGTTTGCTCCTAACTTGCTCTTGGACAGGTGAGTGACCTGGCTATACCTTGGGAGAAGTACATCCTTTATAAACACCAGTTTATTCATGAAGCTATTGTATCCAGTACCCTGTGAAGCTTCAGAGATTAGGTATGTTTCCTTTACCACTGGGTGCACTGGGATGATGACTAGTTGCAGCCTAGTCAAGTTCACAGAAAGCTAAGAATACCTTTCTGCTAGACATTTCTTCTGAGGAATTGTTATTTCTGATGCACACACATACACACACACACGAAATGTAATTTTCTAATTCCACCTTCAACTTTTTTTATATAGAAAATGATGATAAGCTCCCTTTAATTAAAAGGTTTTTTTGGTCATCGTACATTCAGACCACATTTGCTTCTCTAATTCTCCCATTAGTAAAATGAGGAAATTTGACCAGAGAGTTCTAAAGACCACTTCCAGTTCTATGACTTCATTTTAGTTTCCAATTTTTACCTTCTTTAACATATTGCACTTGGTTTTTTTTGTTTTGCTTTGTTTTGGAATGTGGGTCCTATTATTTTTTTTTCTTTTTCAGTCATTGCTTAGAGTAATAGAATTAAGACATTATTTAATAGCAGCTTCCACAGATGGACTCCCCACCCTGCACACCTTGCTATACTGAACACTTCACATTCTTTGTTACATTTAACCATCACAGCACTCCTAGGAGGCAGAAATTTTGTCATCCATGTTTCACTAGAAAGGAAGCTAAGTCTCAGAGACATCCTGCTGCTTGCAAAAAGACAGACAGCTAGCTAATGGTGGAGCCAAGATTTGAATTTTGGATCTTTCTGGTTCTGGCATGCTTTATTGCCTCCGGTCCTGGGCACATGGTCTTCCCACTCTTCCCTGTCCAGTGATGCTTCCTTTGGTTTGCTAAGATAGCTTTCTGTGTTTGAATGGGAGAGGATAATCTTATTGTTTCATTCAAATGTAATTTTGCCTATATGCCCAGAAGTCCAAGGCTGCCAGGTTGCCCACAATGCATCTCTGCATGGTCCTCTGTTTCGGAGCGCAACACTAACTCCCTGCACCTGTCAAGCCCCCCATGCAGAGTTACAACAAAATTTATTTAAGTGCTGAAGAACTGTACCAGGTATTGCTTATTGTTTTGTCATTTTGTGCTAATATAATTTTGAAAAACAGTGATAGAGCTGTTAAAGAAGCAGAATTTGCTGTCTGTGGAATATATTTCAGTATCACAGTTTCACAAAATTATTGAGAATGACCACTAGTTTTGTTCCTTACAATGCACTCACAATGTCTTCTGTTTGCCTTTTAGAGGATGTCTTCACAGCTTTCTTTTCCTTTCCATTCATTATTTTCCTTGTATTGTCATTGTTTTCCTTTATATCTCATTTCTCTTCTGTTTTCCTTTTCTTTCTTCCTTTTTTCTTTTCCTCTGTCTCTTAAAAAAAACCAAACTCTTATTGTCTTACAGTGATGTGGTTTTGTGATCAAATTGTATCAAGTTGGCAGATGAAAATCTTAGATCCCATAAAATATTTTCTTGTTCCTAACTGGAATGTGTCTTCTGCACTTCGGTTTTTGGATGTTCGTAACAGAGCTCATCTGCATCATGATTGTTATCCTCATCTGTATCTGTCTTCTTTTTTGTAATTAAATCGTGTTTCTTTAAATTGACAAATAATAATTGTACATATTCACAGGATACATAGTGATGTTTTGATACGTTGAATGTATGGTATTCACATTCATCTTCCTAAATACACATTTTCTAAGAAGAGTCATCAAATCATTGCATTTTTAATATAAGAGTTTTTGATATTACCTCAGCTAATGAGATTATATTGCCTAAGATTTTATCAGCTACCTGCTTCTCTTTCCTTTCTATACATTCCCACTGTGACTAATCTTTCGTATCTCTCACAGAGATATGGGTGACTGAAAGTTCCTAACTCTGTCTCGAAAACTCCAGGTTGGAAGTTTCTATTCTCTCTAGATCAGGATTTCTCATCCTCTGCACTGTGGTCATTTAAGGTCAGATCTTTTTTGGGAGGGGGCTGTCCCATGCATTTTAGGATATTTAGTAGCATCCCTGGACTTTACTTGCTAGATGCCAGTAGCAATTCCCCTCCCCACCCCCAAGTTATGACAACAGCGTCTCTAGACATTTCAGTTTTCTGTGTGTGGCGGTGGTTAGGGGCAGGTCAAATTATCCCTGGTACCATATTCCAAACTGAACACCTATCTTCTTTATCAAATCTGTTCCTTTTCTCTTCCTTTCTGTCTTAGTGACACCAACATTCACTGAGATACTGAAACTATAAAGTTTAAATTGCTCACAGATTCCACCTCCTCCCTCACCAGGAGATTCCACCTCCTCCCTCCCTCATCAAGTCATCTCTGAATTGTTTCTGAATCTAGACCTTCCCCTTTTTCCCATTTTCCTGTGTGGACACACATCCTGGCTGTCTCTCACCCGAATTCCTTGTCCCTTCACCCTGACTGTCTTCCTCAGCCCCACCTCTCCTTTTCTGGGCCCATCTTCCACAGAGAGGACTTTCTAAGGCACAGCTGTGATCATGATGCTTTCCGAGGCACCTTTCATTGGCTCTCCCAATTATTTAGAGAAAGTACTTTGTAGACTTCTTATCTTGATAATTATGAATCTCTATTACAAGTATCACAAACACAAGTATCTGCAGAGCCACTCAGAAGATGTAAATGAAGAAGGCTGGTGGGTGAGAGTGCAAAAGGGAGCGCCGGTGCTTAGGTCACCTGGTGAGCTCTTGTCCAGACTAAAAACACCTGGCAGCTGAGTTTGGTCTGGGAGCAGTTCACAGAACTTCACATATTCATGTTTCTCTCTCCCTGCTTCTGAAAGGGCCTCTACCGTTAGAGTTCCTTATCAGAATCTTGTCCATTCTTTAAGGCTCATTTTAGATGCCCCTCTTCTATAAAACATTCCTTCAAACTCTCTGTTCCTCAGACAGAAAGTCGCCTTTCCTTTGTTCTCACTTTGTTTGACTTGTACTTATATCATTCTGCCCTGTGTTAGTTATGATCAGATGTCTTATCTTTTCTACTAGCTCATAAACTTCTCGTAATCAAGAACCAGATTTTGTCCATCTTTGTGTCATCTCCAGTGTACAAAGTCTTCTATGATACCCAATAAATGCCTGTTAATTGCACAGGCCAAGGTCACCCAGGTAGAACTGGCAGAATCAGAATGAGAAGCCACATTTTCTGATAGTCATTTCAGCTATGACTGTCATCCAACTCACTTCTTTTTCATTGCTGCTCATCAATTCCTGGCTTATTTTTTGAAAAACTTTGTCAAAATTAATATTTGTGGGCTTTGGATTTTCTTAACGTCTAAATGCATTTGGCTTGTATTTATACTGCTTCTTATACTCCACCAAACTGCTGTGCAACGTTTAAATTCCAAATGGGGACAAGCAAAGAATCTTATCTTTCCCTTAAACAGACGCCTTATGAAATAAATTCCTTAAGGTGTCACTATATGTGAGAATTCTCTAGGTACATGTTAATGACAAGAAAGCTACATGTTAATGATTAGAAAGTGCATAAAAATATACATTTATATTTAAATATAAATATATTTATAAATAATATAAAATATAAAAAAATACAATCTATAAATTAAAAAAATCTCAAATCTAAATCTCTACTATAAATGTAAAAAAATTTCTACTTTTCTAATTAACATATGCCTTTATGTTATTAAATTTCAGTATCATTAAATTATCCTTTTGCTGTTTGAGGATAACTGCTTTTAATGACATTGATAGATGTATGACAGTAAAAAGTATATTGTGACTAGCAGCCCATTTGAAATTTTATACATGTGGAAGATAGTTTTTGAGTGACATCTGAGAACACTATTTATGTTTTTACCTTACAGGCTCCCAACCCTGTGATAAAATTGAGCTCTCTGATTAGCACGTCACTTTGATCTTCCCATTGCTCCTGTCCCATCACATTGTACATAGTAAATATTTTTAGTTACAAAATGTAGATATTCATAAGTTTCAAAGCAGTGAGAGCTGATAGGCAGAAGATGATGTCAGTTTCATCGTTTTTCTTTTGTCTCAGGCTCTATGACACTACCTCTGGAAGATTAACCACCCCCATTGGATAATTTCATTTGTAAAGAAATAGGGAAAAAAATAAAGCCGCAAGTCACAAGTAGCTCTGTAACTTGGGTTGCTGATGTTACTCTCTCTGGAGACTAGTTTTCATCTGTAGTTGATTATGGTGATGTCCTGTTCTCTCAACTCTTCTTTGCAAATTCAGGCATTTGTGTCTACAAGGCCATCAGGAGGTAGCATTTACCCTTGTCTTAACCTTGTAATTACTCAAATGTTAGTATTGGCAAATGGGATTTGATGATTATAGGAATGTAAAACCTGCTGGGTTGCCATCCCACATTTGTGAGCAGAGGGCATATTTCCTATCTTGTGTCTATTTAAAAGAATTATTACTTGATTTACTCCCTGATGACAACTCATGATATCTTGATTCTGGTAGTTAGTAACTTTCCTGGTAGTCACATGTTTGTAGGCTAATCTTATCCTTGCCATGCTTGGCCTACCCACAGTTTCCAGGTCTTCCCTGTGTCCTGCAGCAGTGAGTTCCAAGCACTTAATGCAGTCATTTCTTCCTGTGAAAACCAAGAAATAAAGGTTATTATAAGGTATAAATAAAGAACCCAGTAATTACTCTTGGGATGTGTGTGTGTGTGTGTGTATTTTACAACAGGAAAGCTAAAGATATTAAGAACGCCTGTGAAAGTAATCAGGAAATGGAGAAAACTTGTTTTTCCATTCTAGCACCTAATTCTTTGGTGTGTTTTGGCACTAGAAAACACAAAATATGTCCTCTGTGTCTACTAGGAATGTACCTCTTCACTTAGTCCTGCTTGAGTGCTCATACTGGAAAAACAGAGCCTGAAAACAGGAGCAAAAGGGTTCATCATATCATTGTTCCTTGTGGGGTCTCTTTGCTTCTGCAGA